CAGCGTGGAGAAAGGTGTCTTGGGCGTCCCATGACGCTAGAAAAGCTGTGGAAGCGCATGGAATTTCCCGCCAGCAGTGTGCGAGCGAGTGGCTACGACCAAGGCGTCCGACACGGGCATGGCCGATGCATGCGAGTTGCTGGTGGCATCATATCGTCATGGCGGTGCGGCGCACCTGCAAAGCGTCGTAAAGCGGCGATCCAAGGATCCTGCCGATCGATGGATCCAGCCGGCTTTGTCACGATATCGTTACTACACCTCGTCCAGCCCCGCCGCCTTGGGCTCCCAGCACTCGTTTCGCCTGCGTCCTTGTCACGCTCTTCCACGCATAGTGCACTAGGGAGGCGATGATGGCATTGATTTTGCCTCGCGTCCATCCGTGTCAAGGGTATGCACGACGTCGGCCAAGATACCAACGGAAATAGTGTGCTGTGACACGACACTAATACGTGGGTATCCAGCTGCTGCAAGATTGTCAATCACGCAGTCATTCGGCGTCTTTTTGCTTCTATCACCTGACGACGACATGCGCTCGGCTGGGGTCTTCGCGCTCGTGGCCGCCGTCGCCGCCGCCGTCGCGCCCGTGTCCAACTGCCCGGACGACCTCAACGAGGTCTCGCTCCTCAACAGCGGCGCGAGCTACTGCATCACCGAGCATCCCTGCTCGGGCATCTACCGCAGCGACAAGCCGCCGACCAAGACCGCGTGCCCGGCCGAAGGGCAGGTGTCGTCCAAGGGCGACCGCCTCATCATCAAGCCCACGTGCTGCGCCATCATCAACAACACGACCAACGTCCTCGGCTGCGTCTTTGAAGCCGCCAAGTACACGTGCATTGCGCCGTCGCCGGCGCCGATCCCGACGTTGCAGCCGCTGCCGCCGCACAGCGCCAACGCGGCCGAGGTCAAGCTCACGACGACGGCGCCGCCTACGACGGAGGCTGTCGGCGCCAAGGAAGTGAGCGTCGGTGCCTCGGGCGGCGACGCCACGACGACCGCCGCACCGACGACCGCCGCGCCGACCATCGTCGTGCTGCCCGTGACACAGTCGGCGACGCAGGCGACGGCCCTCTCGTCAGGCGCGCGCCGCCAGTGGAACATTGAAGAGGACAATTTGATTGCGATCGAAACCAACGTGCCGGGCCGCGTCTTTGTCTCGAGCTGGACGCGCTGGCTCAGCTTGAGCGCTTTGAACCGCAAGCCAGAGTACAAGCACGTCACGGCGGTCGTCGAGATCTCGGGCTCAATTGGCGCCAACGCTTCGTCCGACGCGTCGCAGTCGCTCATCGACCAGTTCACGCTCACCGTCGACAACAGCACGATCTTTGTCGACTTTAACGCGTCGGGGATTCACAACGACGGCGAGGTGCTCGTCGAGATCTACGTGCGATCGCCGCTCGAGCGCATTGCGATGCACGGGTCGGCCGAGGCGTACGTCGAGGCCGGCGTCCTCGCGTCGCAGCGCCCGCTGTCGCTCACGACTGCGACCGGCGATCTCTACATTGACCTGGCCAACGTCACCAACGCCACCGAGGTCACGGTTGCGGCCACCGGTGCCGGTTCGGTGCAGCTCGTCGGGCCGACGCTGACGACCGCGACGTCCATGGCGCTCACGAGCAACGGCGACGGCTCGATCGTCGCCTTCTTGCAGACCGCGTCGATCACGAATGTGACGAGCCGCGCCTATGGCTACGGCGACATCCACATCTACTCGACGTCCTTGACCGTGCAAACGGTCTACTCAAGCGTCGACGGCTCGGGCAGCGTCGTGTACGCGAGCGGCGCCGGCGTGTGCCGCCAGCAAGAGATCGAGATCAGCGGCGTCGGGAACGTCGAGTCGAGCCGCCTCCTCTGCGTCGACACGAACGTCAAGATTGACTACTCGGGCCGCGGCGATGCGATCGTGCAGTCGAGCAACTCGATCACGACCGATGTCCGCGGGCCCGGCAACGTCCTGTACTTCAACACGACGCCCACCAAGTACCCGGCGTACAAGAAGCACTACTACGAGATCAAGGACGTCGACGCCAACAAGCTCAACGAGTCGTCGATCGCGTGGCCGGCGTCGCATGCGCCCAACGCCTTCCACGTCGAAGTGACGTCGAACGGGTCGTGGCTCGACACTGTCTCGGTCGACGACCTCGACCGCATCATCCTGTTTGGCTGCCTCCTCTTCTTGCTGCTCATTCTGCTCTACATTTTGTACCGGTGCTACAAGCGCTACAAGGACAACAAGGACCACGGCGAGTACCAACGCCTCCAGTAACCAAACACCCATGCGGAGCATAATTTGACATCCTTGGCGTCTTGACCTCTCCGCGTTAAAAGGGCATGGATCGCCTAGCCGCACCGTCGATAAGGAACAGAGAGGTGTCGTCCTCCAAAGCGTGATCCGATAGCGGTGCAGAACGCGTCGGTCGGTGGACCCTAGCCCTGTCGGGAAGCCACCGCACGAACTGGCAAGATGCCACCTCTCATCGCCTACCTATTGTCCACACCATGTACATGTACGGTGGATACTTCAGAACGCAGGAGGTGCGGGTTCGAGTCCGGTGTAGTGCATTCCCTTTCTTCGCTCTCCCATTGGCAGCACCAAAGGGACAACGGCGCCGGAGACGGGCAATATCGTCATGACATGCGCAAGCGAAATGTGAGGATTGCCAAGGAGTACAGAGGGGAGAGGGAACATCCAGGGACCACCTTGCTAGCAACGGTGACGAGAAGAACAGGTAATGCGCTCCACCACAGTAGCAGCCGGGATGAGCGACGAATGCGGCGTTGCAACGCCTGCCGTGAGCCCAAGAGCCCAAGAGCCCAACAGCTAGTGTGCACCAAGGGTCAATAAACAGAGGGCGTCTCACGCAGCACGATGAATACCAGCAAGATGCCACGTTTAGCGACGGTGAATTTGAAGGCGTATTCAATGCAACGAGAATGGTTTCTCCCTGGGGATAGTTGGTTCAGCTCCCATCTTCTACACTCGGTGTACAAGAAACAAGTACACGAACGAAGGTACTCGAACGATTCTACACTCGATCGCCTTTACGCGCCGCAACGAGCAGTCGCAAAGTTGTCATTTTCCATTTCGCATCCGACCTGCCACGACCAGCACCGCTCCCTTCAGCCGCGCTCCGATGACCGCCCTGCCCGCGTACATGCCCACACATCCCCAACGACAACGACAACACCATCCAATACCACCACCAAGAAGCAACAGTAGCTCGACCGCCGCACAGGCCACTCCACAGGTGGCTCTGGACGAATCCGTCCAGTGTTTGGCTCGCCAAGCGCTCGCGGCGATGAGCGAAGAGATTGCAACGGATGAGAACATCCGTGCATTCAAACGCGCTTTGCTGCGGGCGCGACGGCGGTCGAGGTCGTGACGATAGATCCCGCGGCCAAAAGGACAGACGATGTATGGCCTAGAGCTTCCATTTTGACTGTCCACGCTGCCATAAACTCACATAAACAATGGTTGACCCAGCTAAAGCCTCCGTATCCAAACTGTTTCTTGACCCTTGTGGCGACAATCGTTTGGCTGGTTGCTAGACTAGTTGCTACGGACATACTCTCTTTTCGCAAATGCAAACCGTTCATGTCAACCACAGAGTACATGCCATCATGCTACGGAGCTTAGTGGCCAAAGAACCCCTTGACGTTGAGCTTGCGCTTCCCCGACGACGGCGCTGGCGGCACGGGCCCCGTGTTGGTCGAGACACTCGGCGTCTTGTGGGCGAGGTACTGTCGGATCATCGCATCGGCCGACGCTGCCGGCCCGGTTAAAAACTTGTCTTCGGGCTGCGTCCACACCGCGTCGGTCGGCTCGTGGCGGTAGACCTTGTCCCATTTCTTGTTCTTCTTGAGGATGCTGTGCGCGACGTTGCCTTGGGTCTTGTGGTTCTCGAGGTCGACGAGGATCGCAACGATCGTCGCGCGCGTCAAAATCGGGTTGAGGACACGCTGGAGCGTCATCGGGTGTTCAATGAGCTCGAGGAGCGACTCGAGGAGGTTGAAACTGCACACGATCGACACGACATTGCGATCCGAGTTGCGGTCGCCATTGTCGGGAAAATTGCGGACGAACCGGCGGACGCACTCGAGCAGGAAGCCGGCCTCCGCGTGGTACTCGCCTTGTCGCCGCAGATACACGTGGGCAAAGAGTCGGCTTAAAATGTTGTACGGCGAGTACGCGAGCGCCGAGACGACCTTGGGCGACGTAAAGAGAACGCGGAAGAGCCGCAGCAAACTCTGCTCGCAGACGAGAATCTCGTCGTCGCGCGACTCCTTGTGGTGGCTCTGATAACTCACAAAGAGCCCGCACGCCTTCTCGTGCAGTTTGAGCGAGATAAGTGTCTCGAGGAGCACGGGGAAGACGCGGAGGACGCAGATGATGCAGCTCGTGAGGAGCGGCAGAACTTGCGCCTGCTGCCGACGCAGCATGACGAGGTCTGGGTTGAAGCTCGACCGCGCCGCGTCCGACGGCGCGTCCAGCAAATGGCCGACAATCTTCTCGTAGTCTTCGGCCAAGCACTCGAGGAAGAATTTCGGGTCGCGAAGCGGATAGATCGGGTTCTCGAGGTACAAGAGAAGGTACACGTCGCCAACGACCGGGTACGAGTACACCTCGGCGTAGTCGATCTCGAGCCCGAGAAGCTCGTCGTTGACGTCGCCGGCCTTGGATTGGTGCACGAGCAGCGCCAAATGATGCAGCCCGCGACGCAGGTGCGCCCGCATCGTGTCGTTCCACACCAAGTCGGGCGACTCGTACTTGCCCTACGTCCTGGTTGATACCTTGATACGTTGAGAAGACACTGCGTCTACCTGCACGATGCGCTCGACGTTCAAAGGCGCCGACATGATCTCGTACATGAGCGTGACGGGCACGAATCGGATGCAGACGTTCATCGCCTCCTCACTCACAACGCTCTTGGGCGCCGCGAGGGCCGTGACGACGTCGGCCGCGGGGACTTGCATGATTTTGCCAAAGTCGTGGTCCGTCACGCTTGACGGATCGGGAAACAACCACAACAAGAGGTGGTACATCCAGATCGACTCGACGACGAACCGGGCGATCGACGGCGCCGCCGTCACGAGGCGATAGAGGACGCGCAGCATCTCGGCGCTCACGTCGTCTTCGACCAGAATCGCGTGCAACAGCAGCACGACAAGGTCGGCTTGGAAGAGCGCATTCCCAATGGTCTCGCTGCCGCCGAGCACGTGCAAAAGGCGCAAGGTGCTTTCTCGGAAGCGGTCAAAGATCTCGAGCGGGACCAATACATGGGCAAACCCGACATCGAGCGCCGACGAAGCAAACAGTGAGTGCGTCGGCGGCAAGACGAAGCTCATGACCGTCGAGAGACCGCTGTTGGATCGGAGGCAGCCGACTTCCACCAAGGCCGGCGCGAGCGGCGCCAGCAAACCGAGAATGCGCAGCGCGACTTCGCGGTAGCTCAACATGGCCGACGCGTCGAGGTCGTACCCAACGGACGCTGTTGGATCGGAGGCAGCCGACTTCCACCAAGGCCGGCGCGAGCGGCGCCAGCAAACCGAGAATGCGCAGCGCGACTTCGCGGTAGCTCAACATGGCCGACGCGTCGAGGTCGTACCCAACGGACGCTGGCAGATCGCGCTTGCCGGTCTGGACAAAGTTGAAGAGCGCAATGTAAAACGCCTCGGACAACGCAAGAGACCGCACCAAGTCGACCGACGGCGTCTCGGTCGCACTCGACAAGACGTCGAGCAGCGGTGCCACGTAGACCGTGGCAACCACGCAGTGCGTCGCGAGTGCTGCAAAGCGGAAGCGGATACCGTCGTCGCGGCTCGGCACCGACACGATATCGCCGACGATCGGCGCCAAGTACGCACGGAGCTCTGTGCGAAGCGCCGACGTCCAGATAAGGTGCGGCGACGTCGTGTCTCCGTGAAACATGGTAAAGAACGCGTGCCGGTTCTTTTGCTTGCGAAGGAACGCAATGCTATTGGGCGTCAGGAGCGCCGAGCAGAGCTCCAGCGCCGCCATGTGCGCCGGTGCGTCCTGGAAGATGCCGCAGAGCCGCGCGAGCACACCGAGTGCCAAGTCGCCGAGCACGTTCTTGGATTCGGCAACGACCTCGACGATCGAGGACGGCGGCGCGTGGCGGTCAAACAAGATGGTTTTCTGGACGACAATCTGCGATGTCGACACGTCCAGCGACGGGTCGTACGCAAAGAGCAGCTGCAGCAAGTGCCAGAGGATCCCCGTGGACGCGACGAGCTTGTCTTGGAGCGCACGGGCTTCGGTCATGGCCAGAAGCGCTTCCAGCGCGTAGCGCACACTGCGGTACAGGTAGCCCGATGTAGGGTCATCGAGGCGCTGCTGGAAGAGCCAGAGAAGACGCCAGAGGTCGTGCAAAAGGCTCTCGCTCGTCAGCATCCAGTCGCGTCCCGCCGGCGTCGTCGCAAGCATCGCGATCGTTTGCACAACGTGACTCGCGACTTCCGCGTACAGCGACGAATCCGCTTCGCCGACGCACACATGGTCCACGCAGTGCGAGAGCACCTCCTCGAGGACGTCGCGCTTGGCTTCGGCCAGCAGCGCCGCGCCGTTGGCCGCCGGCAGCACGATACACGACTCGAGGAGGAGCTCGGCGGCCAGTCGCACGAGCGCGTCGTGCTGGTCTGCTGTCGTCAGGCTCGGCATGCGCGCCGACGCCGTGCAGTGCTCTTGCAAAAAGCCCAAGAGCAGGTCAAACATGTCAAAGGCCGATCCGTTGTAGAGCTGCGTCGCGTAGACACGGCAAAGACGGACTTGGGTCTGCAGAAGGAGGCGCAAGCGCACGGCATCGTACCCAGGCGTCAAGAGACTCGGGCGTGGCGATGTGAGGACGTGGAACGCTTCCTGCACGTCGTCAAACTGCCCGCGGTCGTCCAAAGCGTACTCGGGGCACGTCGCCGTCGCTTTGTTCTTGTACGCGGCCCGAATCGCGCGCAAGTCGGCCGTCGGCGACGCCAGCCCAAGTACATCGGCGGCCTCTTCAGACGTCATGGACGCACCGGCCCGGTCGACTTCGTCGCGCCATGCAACCGTGAGCTGCCGCAGAAAGGCGCTGGCATCGTCGAGCGGCACGACGTCGCCCGAGTCGATCGCACGCACAAACTGGTCCAAGTAAAAGCCAAAGCAGTAGACCTCGTCGTCAAGATCGGCGTAGCGCACCGGCGCCATCGGCGCATACGAGTACGTGGCCGCGACCTGCTGCGTCAAACGGCGCTTAAAGTCCGCGACGTGCGAAATGCACGCGTCCCGGAGCGTCGCCCGCATGCGCGTGTTCCAGATGACCTTGGGCGTTGCAATGTCGGTGGTGCAAAAGAGGTCGGCCACTTGGTGCTTGGAGAGACGTTCCAGATGCGACAGCATCGCGGCCGGGAGGAGCTCTGGTAGAATCGCGCGGGGCGTGCCGTCGGGACGCACTTGCTTGGCGTACGCGAGCTGGAGGAACCGGCCAAAGTCGGCGAACGCAGACCCGCTGTAGCAAAAGAGAAGTAGAAGACGCCGCTGAGGTACACGTCGTGAATCGGCAGCTGTCCGTCAAATAGCGTGACGAGGATGTGACCAACATGCTCGGCGAGCCCCGGGCGCTCGTACTGCGCGAGGAGCGGCACGAGCCCACCGAGGTGGTCGTGCGTCTGCCGCATCGCCGCCGGCGCTGGAAACACCTTGGTGTGCCCCATGAGAAGCGGGTTCGCGTGCAGAAGGTCGCACACAATGTGGATGGCATCATGGGCGACGGCGACCGCCGACGTCGCAATGGTCGCATCCAAGCCAAGCTCCCAGCGCAGCTGCGGAATTGCATCCAGTGGCTGGCATCGCCCCACGCAATCCCCCGCGCCATCGTGGTGCACATGGAAGAGACATGTCTTGACGTCGACGCCAGCGATGGCCGCCGCGAGGCCGGCGACCGTGAGCGGCCCAGTGCACGGCGCGTCACCGAGATGGACACACCATGCCGCAGCCGCGTCATCATCATCCTCGATCCGCTGGGCAACGTGGGCCATCTGCACCAGCTGCACGAGCCACGGAATCGCAGCGTCGTTCGAGAGCAATTTGGCGGCATGGGCTGGGCACTTCGTGATCGCACGGAGCGCGCGAAGACCGACGAGAAGAATGTCCTTGCGCCGCGTCTCAGTGAGCAGCGTCAGTAAATGATGGACGTCGTCGGCACACAAGTTGTACTGGCCTTCGTAGAGCCACGTAACGCGCGCGAGGACGTGCAGGAGCGTCGTCGTCGTCGCCAACTGCCCGCGAAACTCGGCGTACGGGTACTCGCGCAAGAAGCGCTTGTAGAGTGCCGAGACGAATCGCTTGGGCTGCTTGAGCAGCATGTCCTCCATGTGCAACGGTGGCTGCCACGTGTCCTCGTCGTCGTCGTCGTCATCTTCGTCGTTGTCTGTCTCGTGACTTGCGACCAGCCGGCGTAAATGCAGCCCGTCGACCATAAGCGCGGCGGCGAGACTGTGGTAAGTCACGCGAAACTCCTCATAGTTCCACACGGCCCGCGCCTCGTGGGCTTGGTGGTCTCGAAACACTTGGATCTCGCGCACAAGCGCTGCACGCAGTTCGTCGCGCGTCGTTGGCGTCCAGAGCAAGTCGACCGTGTCGTGGTCTTGCTGCAGCATGTGGAAGAGGATGCGGAAGTTCTCCTGGGGCTTGATGACGGCCGCGTCGGACGGGACATTGGACGGCCGACGCGTCACGAACGCACGCTTGAGCAGCGAGAGATGCATGCCGACGCTCGACGCCGGTCGATGCGCGCGGCGCGGCGCCGGGTCTTGATATACGTTCGGCGACTCTCGGGGCTCCGAATGCAGCTTGCCCACGAGCCGAGGCAGCGCGACGTCGGGCACGTTGGACCGCGCGCCTTCACTGCGGGTGGGGAAGAGGTGTTCGCTCCGCGTACTCGCGGGCAATGACGATGGCAGCACAATGGTGTCGGCCACATCGTCCTCAAACAACGCGTGGTCGGACGCCGCGTTGGGCCGGCGCATGCTCGCAACAAAGCTGTCTTCGTCGTCGTCCGCGTCATCAGGGCGGCTCGCGAGGGACGCACTCTGCGTCGGCGAGAGGTCGGCATTGAAGAACGACACCTTGTGGTGCTCGAACGACGCCTTCTCGAGCTCGTCGAGCTGGTAGCTCTCGGCAGGCGACAAGAGACGCATTTCGAGGCACGAGACCAAACCCGGCGGAAGCAGCCGCGACAAGAGCTTCTTCGCGGCCGGGTGGTGACTCATCCACATGGAGATGAGGTACCGACTCACAACGCGTTGGTCGAAGGCGGCATCAAAGATAGCTTGGTAGAGGTGCTGCAGCACAAGCCCTTCGCGCAGCGCCGCGTCCTTGATCGAGCTCGCCACGTCGATCGGGCACAGCTCCAAAACCGTTTGGACGAGCAGCGTACACGCCTCGACAGTGGCCGCACAGTACGACCGAAAGAGGAGCCTACAACATCGTCGTATCCAACGCCAACCACCACAAAGAAGACAGTGTACCGGATAAGCGTGTCGTAGAACGGTACAAGCGCCGTCACCAGCACTTGGACGTCTTTTGGGTCGGTGGTCGCGCGCCGCGAGCAGAGCGCCGGCTCGAGCGTGCCGAGGACGCCGAGGTGCATGAGCGGCGACGTCAACTGGCCGTTGGGTCGTAGTTGAAGCGGTGCCAGGAGCGCATGCAGCAGCGTGGCATTCTCAAAGATGAGGCGCTTGTTGGCGATCTCTGCGTCGGCGCTGGAGCCGCGCGCCATGGGCTCCATGCCGTCGTCTCCGATGGCGGACGCGCCCGCGCCCTTGTGCATCGAGAGCCGCTGTAGGAGGAGCGACGCCCAGTACACGGTCAACGCGTCGTCGGCTTGGAGAAAGTGCACCATGTTTTCGACAAAGTGGGGCAGCCCGAGCATGTCGAGGAAGCCATAGTACGACGTTGCGATGCGGCAAAAGCACTGGAGGAGCGCGACCGCCATCTTGGGGGCTGGCGGCGCGCACGTCGCGACGGTCCGCAGCTGGAACGAGAGCGGCTTGAGCGCATCGGCAATGATTGACCGCTTGCTGTAGTACTGGATGCCGGTCAGCGGTACGTTCGCGTTGAGCTCGCACGCGATCGAGACCAATCTATGCAGTGGCATGAGGAAAGGGTGTTGATCGAAGCAGTGTTTCGTGGTTGTGTACCCGCGACCGGCCGCGACGCCAGCGCGATGGCCCGTGCCCGCCGTGTACTTGCCAACCGCCGCGAGCCGCTTGAGAAACATCGATCCGATCGACGCGTCGCCAAAAAACGTCCGCGTCTCCGTCGGGTCTTCGGTCGCGAAACGCGGAAGGAGGCGAAGACCGCTGTGGCTCGGCGTCGGCGCAATCGAGAGCACGTCGTTGGCCTCGGCGAGGACGCCGTAGGCGTCGACAAGTGAAGCAAGCAGTGCGTCGCGGTCCCGAGACGCGTACAGGCGGCGCTGGCCGTTCACGAGCTCGATTTCAAAGCGCGACTTGGAGGAACCATTCCGGACAAGTCCAAAGAGCTGCTTGAGCGGTGTGCGGGAGACCACGTCGGGGCCATCCATCTCGATGACCACCTTGGTATGCACGCGCAGGACGCGGCGGACCGGTGCCTACGCCATTTTCCACTGAGCGCACTGCACATCGAACAGACGAGGGCAACCTCGTAGCGTGGCGAGTACTTTTGAACCGAGAACTCGCCCATGAGCTCGCCGCCGTCGTCGACGAACCGGCGCCGGTTCTCCTTGACGCTCTCGACTGTGAGAGCCCCGCGCGAGGTAAGGCGGACGCCGACGCGCGCCGCGGCCTTCTCAATGTGGCCGAGCACCGCCCGGCGGTCGGACGAGAAGAAGATTTTGTCTTTGCCGCCATAGCCGAGGACAAAGCCGGTCGTCGAGTGGGCGAGCGTCGTCACATGGTCGAGATCCGTGTAGGCGTAGCGGCCGAGGGGCACGGGGATTGCACTGCTACTACTACTACTCGACGCGAGCGGCTGCTTGAAGATGACCGCGTCGACGGCCACGTCCAGGACACAATTGATTTCCGTGTCGTGGCGCGTGAGCTTGGTGCACGCGATCGAGGCCACCGCCGGCGCCGGCGCCGCGCCAGGCACGGGCGACCCCGCGCAAAAGGCCGCATGCAGACGAAGGAACTCGCTCACGAGGTACGACCGGTACTTGTACCGGAGCTTGAGCTGCTCCTCCTTCTTAGGGCCATTGAATGCAATGGTAAAGACCTAGTGTCCAGCTTAGAGAGATGCACGATGGTATGGCATCGCACCTGGTCGTCAGTCGCGTCGAGGTCGAGGCCCACAAAGGCGGCGTACGACCACGTGTTGGTCAGGTCAAAGTCCTTGGGGTCGAGCGTGCAGAAGCGCGTCGAGGTCAGCGCGAAGATGCGCTCGTACTTGCCCTTCCACGAGAGCTTGGTCGTGAGGAAGCGCGCGAGGTAGTCCTCCGCGGAGCTCGTCTCGGCGCCGATCATGGAGGCGGACCCAGCCCGGAGGTGCATGCCCCGTGGCGAGTCGCCCATCGTCTTGCTTCGTCTTCCTACGGCCGACGAAATATGATTCGCAAGAAACAGAAACGGTGCAATGCGGATGCCGGATGCGACACGCGTATCCGGATTCATCGACAACCAAATGGCTCACGCTTTCTTGTAAACGACCTAATGGTGCGTGGTGTTATCCATACCGTCTCATTGTGCATTTCGCCGTTCCCTTCCATGACTTTGTTGGTGGCAATACATGGTGTACTATGTCTTGTGGCCATGCGAGAGGTGGGATATAGATTCATTTCGGGGCGTACGCGGTGTGTTGTAACTCATCGCTCGGTTTGTCATTGAGGGAGTCAGGTCAGGAATGACGAATGTCGATTGAGGTGGCTACGGGCCACTTGAGACAGACTTGGTAAACCAGGCGCATCAACGGAGTTGCTGTGCGGACCGACGCTGAATCGCACGCCCCGTGCGACACCATCGCGATGGACGAGGATGTCGATAGCTGCATCGATGATGGTCGACCTCATGGAGCTTATCACTGCGCCTCATACGCTTACCGGTACCGCAAGCAACGGTTGTCTAGAGTATACAACGAATAGGTCGCGTGGTTGCTCGCGCAGCTCCAAGGTAGGACGGCTCTTCGTCACATGTCAAGGCCCTCAAGCGTGGACACATCACCGGTTCCGGCGTCAATGACGCGCGGCAATGGGCGGCCAGGTAGAGACGATTCTTGTTGGCGTCGGTCGCGTTCAAGTCCGTGACAACAAGCTCTGCACCGGTGGCCGAGGTACACAAAGGTCCTCCCGTTTTCGCTTAGATGAGTTGCTGCGCTGACACGACCCCACGTTTTAACCCTGGCGTTGGAGGGTTCGTCGCTTGTCTGCAGAGGAAGCGACAGGGACCGTTTTGCGGTTCAAGCAAGACACTTTATGTGCAAATGCCCAAATGCCATGGAGTGTGACGTGAGTCGCGACAGTATAGCGCGAGGATATACTAGTAGAGCATGGATGCACCATCGACTCGTGCATCGACTCGGCTCGTCGTTGTCTCGCCGGCTTGCGGGATACCGTTGGCATCAATCAAGATGGCCTCTCGGGCGATTGAACGTCAAAGATAAAGTCAGCTTGACGTGTTAATTGCTTGAGCAGATTTGCTCGCGTCGTTTGGACTCGAGGGGAAGAGAGAGTGCGCAAGAGAGGGGTTTCGGGCGTGTGAGCTGTATTTAACCTAGGCGTTAAACGCTTCGTGGCATTTTCTCCTGTTGGAAAAAGCGGCGTGGGGATGTGGATCCGCCTTTAACGTCGCGTTCTAGTGCGTTTTATCCCATCCCAAGCGAAGGTGGCAGAAAAGGTTCGAAGCGCCGGATACCAACATTCGGCCTGATCCTCCTCGGGGCATATCGACGACGACGGCCGATGAAGGACACGACCGCGGTGGAGCTGGACCTGGACACGGCCCGCGAGCGGTACCTCGCCGAGCAGGCGAAGGACTACCCGAGCGCCTTTGTCAAGTTCACGTACGCCAAGGCCCTCGCGCGCGACGCCAAGCCCGAGAACAAGCAGCGGGGCATTGGCCTTCTCCAAGGTCCATCTTGCTCTCTGCGCGCTTGGTCTTGACGCCATGATGTAGACCTCCTGAACGAAGACTATATGAACAAGACCGACTGCCTCTACTGCTTGGCGCTGGCCTACTACGACCTCGGCGAGTTTAGCAAGTGCCGAAAGCAGTGCGAAGTCCTTCTGCGCATCAACCCGACACATGAAAAGGCGTTGAGTCTGCACCAGTCTGCAAAAGACCACGTCAACCGCGACGGATGCATCGGCCTCGGCTTGGCCGCCGGCGCCGTCATGATTGCAGGTCTCGCGCTCAAGCTCTTGCTCAAGCACCGTGACCATTAAGAGGCGACGCAGCGTAAACACGATGTTATTACAAGTTTTGAGCCATCGCCGAGCATTACGTGACGGTCTTTCGCGCAGCGGACGTGATGATGGCCGAGACCATCCTAGAGCACATGAGCGCCGGCCACATGCACACCCGTCGACATACCAGTACATGCCATAGATGATCTGAAGCCCAAAGAAGATCGTCTTGGCGATCGCCTCGTTGCGCGACGCCTTGAGGTTCTTGAAGCGGAGGATCTCGGTCGGGTCCAAAAAGTGCTGGTTCGCCGAAAACCTAGACGTAGCGCATGAGCACCAGCGCGTACCCAGCGGTAGTGTAGTACTTCTTGCCGTGGTAGACAGCGATCGGGAGGTTGAGCAAAAGCACCCACGGCGACCAGCCGAGAATGCAGGCCAAGAGAAGGATGCCATGCACTGCCATCTCAGGGACTAGACATAGAGCATTCGTATGCTAGGCCAAGGAGCGTCGAGGGCCATCGTACCAACGACCTTGTTGAGGCGCTTGCAGACGTCGGCGGGGTTGAGATGGTCGAGTTCGAGCTCATCGAGCGTGACAAGCTACAGCCAAGTTCATTGAGCCACGTTCGCCTTGCTTCGGGAGATCGATATCCACATACCCAGAAGCCATTGATGAAGGTGAGCCCCAGGATCATGAAGAAGGCGAGGACCGCGGAGACGACCTCGAACATGGCGGCGGGCGGCTGACGGACGAAGGGAGCAAGTTGTTAAGGGGCTCTCGTTTGAAACAAACGGTTTGCGGCACAGCGTTTGTTTTAAACAAATTTTGGGTCACTGTATCATTCCCTGCGTTTTACTGTGCGTCCAACGGTGCGATGTATACGCGACGCTACAGCGTACCCCAAGAGGAACCTCGCGTTGCGGACAATCGCCAGCTGCACGATCGAGTCGTCGTTTTCGTCGTCGCTGCCAGCGTCCTGCTCGTCGTAGCGTCGGTTTAAAACGCATCCCCCTCCACGTTGGGTGCATTCCAGCATTTTACGGATAGTATCCGGCGGCGCCGTCGGTTTTTCACTTGACAAACGGCGCGACGTTCGTATCGCGAGGGATGTGAACAATGCCGGTGCACTTCTCTCGCATTTGTATATAAATACGGCGTGAGCCATAAATGTGGAAGATATGCTTTTTCAGAATGCTGTTCAAGCCAGGGAGGTGACCCATACAACTCGGCTGTGTCGCCAGGGCTTGACCAAAGAACAATAAGAGCTGCAGCACCTCCGTGCCGGCCCCTCGGACTCTAGGACCTCCGCTGCAGACCGCCGCAGCCGTCCTCATTGCCACTCGCGCCTGCCGAATCTGCATTCCGCCAGGACTCGAACAAGCCCTCGCGTGCCACCACCTCTGCCCGCCAGCATCCACAGCATGATGCAAGTACAAGCCGTGTCACATCCGCCGACGCTCGCGCCGGCCGGGAAGAAGCCGACAATGGACGAAGTTATGGACGAGCTCCAGAGCCGCTTCCTCATGAACCTGCCCGAGTCGGAGCTCTCGTCGAGCGAGCGGCTCTTTTCCAGATCGAGCAGTGCTACTGGTTTTACGAGGACTTTTACGCCGACCACCACGTGCATTTAACGCACCTCAAGCTCAACGACTTTGCGCGCAAGCTGTTCAACCACTGCATCCTCCTCCAGCCGCTCAAGGCCCAATGCGAAAGCATGTTTCAGGACTTTAAAGCGTACCAGAGCCAGATCCCGGTCGTCGGCGGCATCCTTCTCAACCCGGCCAAGACCAAGCTCATCCTTGTCCGCAACTGGAAAGGCACCTCGTGGAGCTTGCCGCGCGGCAAGGTCAACCAAGGCGAGTCGGACGTCGAGTGCGCCAAGCGCGAAGTCTTTGAAGAGTGCGGGTACGCGCCGCCGCGAGCGCGGTCACGCCCAAGGATTACATTGAGTTCACCATGAACCAGCAGCGCATGCGCATGTACATCATCACGTC